TGGAGGTTTGTGATAGCTTGAGTGAGTTGAATGGAAGGTATTAGAACAAGTTTGAGGCAAAACGCACGAGGCAATGTGAAGATGGAAGTGATTCTGCAGGGCCTGCCCTGTCTTGCAAGAAAATGTGGTTTTTGTGTACAAGGGTGTTTGAGGGATGAATGGCTCGTGTTTCTGGCTCACAAGGATGTGCAAAACTTGTTTGAAATGTTGGCTTAAGTTGATTATATCAGATATGCAAGTTATGTCCTTTTGGCAAGTTGACTTGTTTTGAAAGAAAAGTGTGAAGTGAAATGAGATAGGCCTGTACAGGATATCTCCAAGCATGCACAAGTTTCGTGTACCTTTGCCTAAGTTTGTGGAACTTGTTTGCTGCAAAGAAAGAGGTCCAAGGCTCAAGAGAAATAACTTTGCAAAAGTTATGCTTTATGAAAATGGAAGTGTTATCTTTATGCCCAAAATGGAATTATTCATTGTATAATGCTCCCTTGATCAGAACAATGCCTCTAACCAATGTGTTTGCATTCAATTTTTGAGTGTAAATTGGTTTAGAGACCTGTAATCAAGTACAAAGCTAGTTTGGTCAGATTTTGCAACTTGTATGAACATGTATTGGCCATGGTTACAAAGTGAGTTTTTGCCAACTTCAAGCATTCGATTCTCCCTAACCACAAAGGTGTTTGAGGAGTTCTTGGATAATTTGGAAAGCTTGCAACATGTAATATAATCCACCTTTGAAATGAAACTTAGGACTCCAAGTGTAACTATGTGAAAAATGGCCAAGAAGATGGGTCAAAATCCTGCCTAAACTAGGGCAAAATTTCTCTAAGTTAAAAGTTTTAGGGACCCTTGTTCCAAAAATCATAACTTGAGATCCAAGCTTCTTTTGAGAAAACTTTGTGAATCAAAGTTGTATACTTTGTGGAGTACTACAACTTTCATGTTGTAAGTTTTGTTTGAATCCATTTTCATCATGGTGAAAATACGGGGCAAAGTTAGGAAAAATTAAGAAAATTTCATAACTTAGAAAATTTCTAAGTTATGAAAATTTTCAATTTTAAACCCTAATTTGCAATTTTGGGTTTCTTGATGAACAAGTTTCATAATTTGAAACATCTTGATGAAAAATGACCCTTGGCACTTGATTTTGACCAAAAAGTCAAAGTTTGACTTTTCAGTGTACAGTCAAATTTTGATCAGTTGACTGAAAAATTCATCTGTCAATCCTATGCATTTGAGATCTTTTGAATTTGTTGAATAGGTCAAGATGATGCCATTGAGTCCTTGAGCCCATGGTTGATCTTGATTTGCCATTGGCTAGGTCAAACAGTCAAAAATTGCCTTTGCACAGTCAAAACCCTAAAAATGATCATTTTGCCCTTTTGATGATCTGATCAAATTTCTTGTGGAATTATGGTCCAAACTTAATCAAATGGTTCATATAAGTTCATAATGTTTATGTGGGTCAAAATTCATGAGGTTTGACTGTCAATTGGCCACAATTGACTTTTTCCCCAATACAACTGATTTCTAGGTCAACTGTCCAATTGACTGGGCAAAAATTTGATTCAAGGCTTGAAACTTGGTATGGACAAACTTATGAGTCCAACATGAAGTATGAAAGTCAATTTGGGCATTTTAGGTCAAAATATCCCTGTGCAAACTCAAACCCTAATTTCAGGTCAACAATGCAAAGAGAGGTCTTGAGCAGAGTAAACCATAGCTTGGTCTTGAGTTCCAAGAGTCTTGTGATGAGAAAATATTGATAAAATGAGAGAGAAAATTTTGGGGTACAATAGTTCTCCACCTATTATTCTCCCAGAAACTTCTCATACTCATCAGATCTCCGTTGAGATTTCTCCTAATATTGATTTTGCTGAAAAACTAGCTCAACTCAAAATTAATGTTGAGAGAAAAATGGAGAGGCTCAAGAGAAAATTTGTCTCAAGCAACTGTTTTTCCCAAGTAAAAGCCTTCTGGAGAAGGTTTGACAGGTGGATGAATGTTAAAAATCCGAAGGCTATCAACTAATATGAAAAACAAGTATGCTAAGGATGTTGAGGAAAGACGTAAAGCTCTTGAAGCTCAAGAGGCTGTAGAAATGGAAGCAACTGAGAAGGAGAAAGCAGAAAGAGGAGCTGCAGAAAAGATAGTTGTTAAAAAGGTTGAAGCAGAAAATGCAATAGGAACAGAAGAGGAAAGAGAAATAGCAGAACTCTCAGAAAATTCTAGTGTTTTCTCGCGTCTTCAAAGTTATTTTGATAATATGCAGAAAGAGCATACATCAATCAAAGAAACACTAAAAGAACAAGCTGAATTCAACAAATCTTTTCAAGGATTACTTGAAAAGCTTCTTCAGCAAAGCCAAAATTCTTCCAAATCTTAGGCATTTTTTCCTGCTTCTTATAAGTGTTGTGCCGTTTTAAAAAAAAACAAGTACTTAAGTTTGCTTAATCAATGCTCTCTTATAAGATTATTTTATGTTTTGTTATGAACTATTGTCTTTTAAACTTAGTTAGTTGTGTTTAACATGTCTCAAAAATCAATTAAGCATTTTTTTATCTTTTTTATTATGACAAAAAGTGGGAGAAAGAGTAATACTTTTAGTTAATATTAATTCTCTAAAATCCTATGATTTACATGACATTCTAACATGATACAAACTGCAAAATTACGTAGAACGTGCATGATTGTTACAAGAACATTACGAATGAAACATTTCATTCACTCTGATAAATCAAATTCTGATAAAGAACGACCATTGCTTCTAATATTCTAAGAAAGCATGGATGATCTGATAATCTTAAAGGTTAAATCAATGATGCTGATCAGATTCAAAAATGATAATAATGCTCTTAAACTCTAAAAAAATCATAAATTTATGATTTAGGAGGAGATTGTTTATCTTAGAGGGAGTTTCTAACTTAGGGGGAGTTTTCTAAACTCTTATACTATTTTTGTTTATGATTCAATCTCTTAAATCAAAAAAATAATTTATCACTTCATTTTCATAATCAGTAAAAATAAAACCAATAAAATTACAAGACAAAAACTTTGTTATTTTTCTTTAAAATTTATAAAACCTAATTCATTTCTTCTTAGGTGCACACTTTGGTACTTACATATTATTTATTCCCCTTTTTTAATCTTATTTTATTTGATCCACAAAATTGTTCCTATGTTTTAAACTTAAACACTTTTGATTGTTGTTTTATACATTATTTAAAGTTAATGATATTTTAGTTTTTAATAACAAATTTAAATAAATATTTTTATTCAATATCAATTTCGGTAGAATTGTATAATGCATTTACACTATTTACTACTACCAATTAGTTAATAAACGTTTATTTCGTGACAATTTTTTTTTCTTAACAGTGAATTAACGTTGCAAACTACCTTGTTTTTATATATAAGTAAAAAATAAGATAAATGTTGATTATAAAAATTTGTTTTGCGAATTATGATACTAATATATATAAAAGATAAATAAAGATTATGATTTACGTGATAAATTAATGTCATATTTTTTTATTTATAAGGTAAATTTCATTATTTTTAAAATTTGGTTGATTACTTACTCATCGTCTAATAATCAAATTTCACATCACTTTTTGATAATGATTTATTTAAATAAGTTAAAATATTAAAAAGATTGTATCTAAAAATATCTATAGTCAAACAAAATTCATTGATACTTAAAAATCATCTTATTTGACAAACATTTTTATATTCTATGAAAATTTTTTAATTTTAATTAATTGCTTAAAAAAAGTATATAAAATTTTATTGAAATTCATGTTTCCATTCTTTCACATGAAAATAATTTTATGAGAATAAAAAAAGTTATTATTTTCCTTAAAAGTTTTATATTTAGAAATCATTATTTTCAATGTTGTAATAAACATAAATATATTTATCTTTTATTCATGTATTTCTGAAAATCTTATTTTTAAACTTGAAATAAATATTCCGTTAATAAATATTTTAGTTTGAATTTATAAAATAAAGAAAAAAGAATATGCAGTATCAACCAATTAGAGATATATATTTAATTTTAATAAATTATATTTTTAACTTTAAAATATATGATTGGACTAAATGTATCTTAAAACATAAAGTGTATCTTAAAACTTAAATAAATAATAAATTTCAAAAAACAAAATATTTGATTCGGTAATTCACGAAAACTATGCTTTGTAAACCCCCTTATTTTCTTTACACTAGACTCTTTTCTCATTCTCCTCTCTGCCGCTGCGTATTAGGGCGTTTTTCTCTCCTTCAAGGTAAATACTCTCCGATTTCGCTTCTCATTCATGTATCAGTATCATCGTTACCATCGCGATTCCCAGGGTTTTCTCACATTTTACTGTATGTATATTTGATTACATAGAATCATTAGATATTGCTATTTTTTCGTTTCTTCATTTGCTTTTCGATTGCGATAATCTTTCTAGGGTTTCTGTGCCTGTTTATCTGTTTTTCTGAATCTAAATAGTGTGATAATCTTTTATGCTTTTGAATTTTATATTTTTACGTAGGGTCGTTAGGTATTGGTATGTTATTGTTTCTTGATTTGCTTTTCCATTTGTTATTCGATTAAGAAAACCTACCTAGAGTTTTCTGTGCATGTTTAACTGTTTTTCTGAATCAAATAGTGTGATTATTGTTTATGCTTTTGAATTGGTAGTTTTGTTTTTGTTATCAAAGTAATTATGTATGGTTATTGATATTTTCACCGAGAGTTTTCTGTTGTGATACTTGATGCATATAATCATAATAAACATAAATAAACATAAGGATTTATATAACGCTAAATATGATTGTGTTTGTTATTTGTTCATATTGCGATCTTGATATGCTGAGATGTCGTGATGTATTGTCTGATTATTGTTGTTGCGATTTTTTTTTAAATTTTCTGTTTGAATACTGATGTTTATTTTACATGCGTTGTTTTCTGTTTTGAATTTGTAGATTTTCTGTGGTTTTAAACTTTAGATCAAATGGGCAAAGAAAAGGTTCATATCAACATTGTGGTCATTGGCCATGTCGATTCTGGAAAATCAACTACCACTGGTCACTTAATTTACAAGCTTGGAGGTATTGACAAGCGTGTCATTGAGAGGTTTGAGAAAGAAGCTGCTGAGATGAACAAGCGTTCATTCAAGTATGCCTGGGTTCTTGACAAGCTCAAGGCTGAGCGTGAAAGAGGTATCACAATTGATATTGCTCTGTGGAAGTTTGAGACGACTAAGTACTACTGTACTGTCATTGATGCCCCTGGACATAGGGATTTCATTAAGAACATGATTACTGGTACTTCCCAAGCGGATTGTGCCGTTCTTATCATTGATTCCACTACTGGTGGTTTTGAGGCTGGTATTTCGAAGGATGGACAGACCCGTGAACATGCTCTCCTTGCTTTCACTCTTGGTGTCAAGCAAATGATCTGCTGCTGTAACAAGGTAAATGAGATTTTGAGTCATTTGCATATGATGTTTTTTGTAACTCATTTGTATACTTATTTCTTATTTTCTGTATTGAACAGATGGATGCCACTACTCCCAAGTACTCGAAGGCTAGGTATGATGAAATTGTGAAGGAGGTTTCATCATATTTGAAGAAGGTTGGCTATAACCCAGACAAAGTTCCATTTGTTCCCATCTCTGGTTTTGAGGGAGATAACATGATTGAGCGCTCTACCAATCTTGACTGGTACAAGGGTCCAACCCTTCTTGAGGCCCTTGACAATATCAACGAGCCTAAGAGGCCATCAGACAAGCCACTTAGGTTACCACTTCAGGATGTCTACAAGATTGGAGGAATTGGGACTGTGCCTGTGGGACGTGTTGAGACTGGTGTCATTAAACCTGGAATGGTGGTGACTTTTGCTCCTACTGGACTGGCAACTGAAGTCAAGTCTGTGGAGATGCACCATGAAGCACTCACTGAGGCCCTTCCTGGTGACAATGTTGGGTTTAATGTCAAGAATGTTGCTGTTAAGGATCTTAAGCGTGGTTATGTTGCCTCAAACTCCAAGGATGACCCAGCCAAGGAGTCTGCTAACTTTACATCTCAAGTGATCATCATGAATCACCCTGGTCAGATTGGGAATGGATATGCCCCTGTTCTTGATTGCCATACCTCCCACATTGCTGTTAAGTTTGCCGAGCTTCTTACCAAGATTGACAGGCGTTCAGGTAAAGAGATTGAAAAGGAGCCCAAATTCCTGAAGAATGGAGATGCTGGTATCATTAAGATGATTCCCACCAAGCCCATGGTTGTTGAGACATTCTCCGAATATCCTCCACTTGGCCGTTTTGCGGTCAGAGACATGCGTCAAACTGTGGCTGTTGGAGTCATCAAGGCTGTGGAGAAGAAGGAACCCAGTGGAGGAGTTAAGCCCACCAAGTCAGCTTTGAAGAAGAAGTGAACCGTGATGGATTATCTAGCCAGGAGAGTCTGTCTTCATGGCTACAATAATAAATCGTCCATGGTTCCTAGTATTTCCGTTTCGGGTTTAGTTAAATTTTTCTTTGGATTAAGTGTGAAGTCTGCCCCATCATCCCGCAGCTTTTGTTCCCAGAACTGGGTTCTAGATCGACGGTGGCATGGCTATTTCCTTTTCGTGTTTATGCTTTAACTGGTGTGTCTTGTGTGAACACTTGGATTTTATAAGCAGCCATTAGGCGATTATTTGGTTAATATGTTTCTGTTTTTTAGTCTATGGTGTTGCTGCTCTTTATCTGCTAGATAATTTTTCGCCAGCTTAAAACGTAAATGCATGTGTGGCGTTTATGTGGTAATTTCACAATGCTAGGATGATTGTTAGAATAGATCGTGTTTTTGTAATGCTTGAGAAATGATTAAGTTAAACTCATAATCTGAGTCTGTCATCCAGCTTCCACATTGCTCCTCCATTACTATCCCAGTTTGTTTATCCTGTACATAGAAACCCGATTGTAGAAAGTGTAGACGTTTGAAAGTCATAATTTTAAGAGTTGCTTATGAGCGACAATAATAGTTCTTTCCATCCATTACCCTGCATGATCCTTCCCTTCAAAACTTTCAATGTCACTTAGTGCGACTCTTGTCTTCCGTATTACTGTTAATTTATGAAAATTATTTACTACCTAACGTCTTTTATCTTAGACGGTCCTCCAATTAGTTCTGCATCCGTTTTTTAAAACACCACACCGCATTGGAGTGATTTTTTTGGTATACACATCTCCCTGCAGTTTATTTTAAATAAATAAAAAATTAAAAAAGTGACTTGTTATTTTGTCATTTATCATAGCCTTACTTAAATTATGCTTGTTACCAAGTTATATTCTCAGGGGAATGTGATCCGAGAGTTCAACTTACAAAATTTAAATTTGAGTTTTAAACAATTCATTGTTTATTAGAGTTAACAATGATTTGTACTCAATCATTTTAGTTATATTTTCAAATTTCTGAACAATCACATTTTCTTATGATAAGAAATTTTATTTACTTATATTTATAATTTTAAGGTGGCCATGATTTTCCCTATATAATATTTGAATTAGAATAAAAATTGAAAACAATTCTCGTCATTACTTTTTGAGTTGAGGAAATGCATCTTGAATGATGAGTGGTATGATAAAAAAAACTCTTAGTATTTGAAATTGTAGGGTTATAAATCATTTTTCTTCTTTCTAATCGTTAAATGACATTTTGATATAAAGGTTGTAAAAATTGGGTATTACGACTTGAGACAACGGTGACAAATTGAGACAGAAGAAAAATCAGTTTCAATTTGTCCTACAGAAGATAAATCAGTCTCGATTTTTCTTCTATCTCAATTTGCCATCGTTGTATCAGGTCGTAATACCCAGTTTTTACAACCTTTATATCGAGTTGTCATTTAGACTTTTGCACGTGTAGCGTTTTCACATCCTTTAGACCTCTTTAGGGTAAGTTATGTTTCTTCTCTCTAATCTACCATAATTAAGTTATTCTCTCTCGGTTTGTGTTTTATGTATCAGTTTGCTATTTTCGTCTTATATCGCTCGAGACAAAAGAAAAATCAATCTCGATTTGACCCACAGAAGATAAACCAGTTTGCTATTTTCGTCTTTATATCGAATTGTCATTTAGACCTTTGCACGTCGCCCTTTAGACTTCTTTTAGGGTCATAAGTCAATTTTCTTCTTTCTAATCTACCATAATTAAGATACTCTCTCTGTTTGTGTTTTATGTATCAGTTTGCTACTTTCGTCTTAGATCACTCTATCCCGTTTTCACTACCTCTCTATCAAATCTTCATTTAGACTTTTGTATGTCCTCCTCAGAGTCATAAATCACTTTTCTTCTTCTTTCTAAGATATTTGATCTTCAATAAACATTTCATGGTATTCTCACCTATTAGATTTTTTAGATTTATTATGAAACTAATATTGAATTCGTAACAAATCTTGATTTTTATTTTTTTAGAGTTCTATTGCCTTTTAAATGGTTGGGTCTAGTCATCATTTCTTAGTTCACCTCTTCCTTCTGCCTCGAATACCTCGTCTACACGATCTCCATATCAAGTAGTCTTTTAGACCTTTGTGCATTTTAGGAGTGCGTGTGGATCATGAATTGCATTGAACTAAATCATATTAAGGACCAATTCAGTTTTCAATAATCACTTTAATAAAAAAAAGTTAACCACTAAAGCAGTTAATCATTAAAGTAGTTTGTTTCAGTTCATTTTAAAACCAATTTAGAACCCTTTGTATTATACATCGATTTATAATCAGTTTACATTTATAAACTTTTTTACCAGACAATATATCTAATTTAATATAATAAAATTTATACAGAAATAAAAGTTAAACGGGCAACAAGTTGCGCCCTACTCCTTTTTGGATGGAAAAATCAATCCTCTTAAAAATTACATTTGTAGACCTATGAGACACAATATTACTATTCATAATCATTTGAACTCTATATAAAAGATCAACTGCTTATGGTGCTAGGAAACTAAAAGTGTCAAAAGCAAATGACATGAAAGCATGTTGATTATCGGAACACGCTTTCTATTGTTTGACCACCTTACTTTACATAACTTTGAGAGTTTTCTGTCTCACACTATAACCGCTAGTCCCCAGTACATACACCAGTAGAGAAACTTAAATCAAGTCCACACAAGCATGTTTCTCTCTTACCCACACACACACCATAACATTTGCTAGCCTAAGTATCAATTTCTCCTCATGTGGATTTAGTTGGTTATAAACAAATTTTTATTGCAGATGAGGACGTGCCGAAAATGACATTTCCATACCCATGAGCCCTAGGCACTTATGAATGGGCGGTGATGCCCTTTGGCTTGAAGAATGTCGGAGAAACCTATAAGAGGATAATGAGTTCAATTTTCTATGATTATATTGAAACTTTTATGCAAGTGTATATTGACAATATAGTCATTAAGTCTGCATCGGGAAATGGTAACATCGACCACCTTCGACAATCATTTAAAAGAACGAGAAAATACATACTGAAAATGAATCCTCTTAAGTGTGCTTTCTGTGTGGAGGTTGTAACACTCTTTTAAACTCCACATAAAATCACGATTAATTTAAGAATAGTTAAAAATAAAATCATCATACAAGGGTACCACACTTCATAACAAAACATCATAATTACTATCTTGCTCCGTAACACTGGTTACCACAATTATAATAACACCTCCTTATAAAATCAACACATCATTTAGAAAAGCATCGCAGCAGGATCATCATCATAATATAATACTTAACTTCTCAAAACTCATAATAGATTAGTCTCATCCCAAAGTGGAAATTAAAATCAGTTTAACAATAAAAAACCTTCATAAATTATGTCAACATAAAAAGTAACATAACATTCACAAAACAAAGTGTTCCCAACCCGATGTTACATATCAGAGAAAGACACCTCTAATTAATGGAAATCAATAAAATACTCCAAAGCTATCTTCAAGACCCCTTACAAGTTACTCCTGAGCATTTGCGCGTTATCCACGTAGAGGCAACATTCGAACAGAAAGGGTGAGTAATCACAATTCATTTTAAAATATATAAAGAAATGATTAGTAGTAACATCATCATCATATCAACACATATCATTTATAAATAAGTCATTCTCGCACTTATACGTCATAATAGTACTGATACACCTTTCGTCATGAAAACCATCATATAGTCACATAATTCTCAAATATCATCACATCTCATCAACAAAACTCATGCAAATACCACATAGAATATTAATACAACAACACCAACTCAATGCATGTGGTACCAATTTATGAACACCTAGCTCATTACCCTCCATGATCCCCACCATAGGATTGATTCCCTCTTGGAACCAGAGCACATCACAAGCGCACTCAATCCACACAATGGGATTGAGGCCCATCACAAACGGACCACCATCCAAAAATGCCATGAATGCATGATGTACAACAACGTCACTTATAAGTTCGACTACGACTAGTCAATTGCATCATCGTTCACATAACCATATTTACATAACATGTATTCATATTAAACATGCACATCATTAACACATCGTCATAGATAACATCAATCACTACACAACAACATCATATCAACTTCACAACATCATAAGTACATCCTTAAAATAGAACATCTTGGTATATCAAACAAATAATAATCCAAATTCATGAATACATAGGTTATGGAATAATACATCAAATAACTTATATTAATCTATTATAACACAGTTATGCACATCATCTTCCCAATGCTTCGAACTATGCATCAAACAGAGTCTTAAAACTCAAGTTACGACATTTCAAAAAGTTACTGCCAGACTGCTTGCCTAAGCCTCGCCCGGTGAAATGAGTGATTGGGTCCATCGTTGCTTTTCTCGCCCAACGAAGCTCTGGCAAAATCCTCATCTTATGTATTTTCCAGGAACCCTCCTTTTTCCAAAAACCCTCTCGCCTACTAGGTCGCCCGACGATGCTTGGGAGATTCGTTCGCCTGACGCAATTCTGCAACTTCCTATTGCAATTTTGCTATTGTTTCAGGCCATACCAATTTTGATTCCAGAAATCATACTCATTCCAAAATGCATTATAAACACCATATATCACATATTAACATCAAAACATTCATATACACATAATGGGATTGAATCATTGCATCTCAATATTATCGATATCACGATTTCATCATGTATTACATCACACGTTTCATCAAATCATCATACAATACATAAGCCTACATCTACCTTAACCCCTATCAATCATAATAAACCATTATTACACTCCTTACCTCAAATTCCTAGCAATTTGATTCTTCCTTCGAATTCTACAAAAATCTCCTCTTGGTTCTCTGTTCCTTAGCTCTCTCTTCAAGGTTTCTCCTAAATTTTCACGATCGTACATAATAACTCCCTTCTCTCTAATTTTCTCTA